GCCTATTGGACGTTCTTCTCAATTTTCACTCGGACAAGACTTCAGGTTTCTTAGTTCGATCACTTTTGGGAAGGCTCCAGTTCTCCTTTTATCCCCTAAGCTAGGATTACTAGAATTCAAATTTCTTAGAATTAAAGGCAAGCTTCCGAAACCTTCCTCTCAAGTACTGCACTCATTCAGAACGTGGCGCCTCCCGTCGAACTCCCCGACGTGCCAGCTGGACCGGTCACCCGAGCACGAGCCAGTCGGGACAAGTTTCGCCGAATGGACACCGAGATGGAGGAGTTACAGAAATGGGCAGCAGCAAATTGAAAAAATTCCAATCTCCCCGTCGGGCCCATTGATCGTTGAATTTCATGTATACTGAATGCTGTTAAGGTTTCACTTTGTTATCAGGCTTCACATTTCTAGGTGATCATGTGTTTGTTAGAATGCCTTGTAGTACTCGTTAGCTTTATTCGTTGTTCTGATACAAAAACGGTTCTTATAGAGCAAATTATGTCAGATTTCAAAGATAAGCGCAATAAATGGTGCGATCCGAGAGCGAGCAATTATTCAGTTTTATCGATTACTCTAAGATGCGCCACGCATTAGACCACCCTTATAAATGGAGGTACTTAAATGCGTGTTTGACTCATGCAAGTACTATGGGCGGTATGCCTTCAAGTATGGATCGTTATTCACCTATACACGATTGGGCTTATTTGTGTGACTCCAGGAGATTCACAGAATGGATGATATGAAAACAATGAGTCCGGTAATTCTAGATGGATATAGAACGGACATACGGGTGCTGAATGGAGCTCCTGTGACGAAAAAGCAGAGAAATCAGAGGAGTTTATAAAGTGCCCTGATCTGTTCTTGGTTTTGGGCGAATTACCGGCATAAAAGTGGGCGTCTGGACCACGGTACTCCATGGAACAGAGAACACGAGCAATTCCAAAAGATATGGCCGTTTGCAGCGAAACTGCAAGTCGAACTAATCCTGTGGCGGAATGCGGAGCGGGTGCAGTTTTCTAGGTTTGAGGTTCAACTATGCTGTTGTTCGAGCACCTTTGCCGTTCCCCTCACCGTATCCTGTGCTGCCTAGATACCAAGCGCAGCTGCGCAGGCACTTTCCCCGTTCGCACATTTATCGTACCCAGTTACTTATGCAATGGGCCTTTAGTCGACCTCTCTCATAGGTCAAGTGATTGATGCAAGTTTCCAATCCGCTGCGTCATCCGTCATTTGAAAAGGATTGATAAAAGACTTTGCAACATTTTGTGAATACACTTCTTGAAGAAGAGGGGGGTAGATGTAGGTAATAAAGAGTAGGTAAAGAAATAGCGGCGCAGTGTGCCTCCAGTGGTTCAGTCCGTGGGAAATCCACTAGGAGCAAGGCGAAGAGAAACGATTCCGGAGAGTGTGAGAATTGCTCACACACCTCGAATCGGCCCTCTTCTACTTCTAAAAACTTATGATTCAACTGCGACACTGAGGCGTTTTCCCGTGAATCTGGTGCAATATTTAGCACTGCCCCTCCACCCTCCGGAGCCAAATTGCGCCGAAACAGCTCTTACTATGGCGATTCATGGAAGAGCATCACATTCGTTCGGGAAAACTATGTTTTCATTTGAATGGGTACGAGAAGAACGAAATCATCGGTGTGATCCATCGGGTCATCCGATTATTGGAAAAAAAATCTCGTTCAGTGCTGGTCGCAGAGAGCTAGAGAGTTTGGAAATGACCTACAGGGAAAAGGTTATAGACGAACAGTTGGGGGGCAAATCGTCCGCAATTGGTCCATTCATCCGGCTCGTGCGTTAATATGCAGTCCAAATTCACATCTGGAATCATTTTCCACTGCATTTTGCAGGAACCTGAGTTACTAGGGCGTTTTTCATCACGCATACAACGCGAGTGATCCCTAGTGGAGTACAAGAGCTCTTCCGATGTACTAATAGACATTATTCGTGAGTCTTTCCAAATCAGCCATTTTATTCCATTTATAGGCCCCTTTTGCGACTGACTGAACAGGAGAATCGCTGCAATACAAGTGTGACGACCAGCACGCCGACTTTTTGAATACGGTAGGTTGCGAAATGTATGTACGTGGAGACTGCTGCCCGGTACTATGGTCTCACGAGAATCGAGGGAATTCCGTGAAAGTGTAGCCAAATCCGGTGGAGGGAGGGCGCAATGTGCCTCCGGTGGGCCAGTCCGTGGGAAGGCCACCAGGAGTAAGCCTAGTGGAGAGGGACGATTTTTGGAGAGTGTGGGAATAGCTTATATACCTCGAATTTCCTCTTCTATTCTTAACTTATGGTCAGCCCTACAACAGGCGTTCCCGTGAATCCACGCCAATAGTCCAATCCGTTTTTCCCACCTGTCCCCCCCCCTGATCCCATCTCACCACTGGCGGAGGGCGGGGCATTCATCGACACGGCGTTGAAAACTGAAAACGTGTGAGTTTACTCCAATTACTTGTTTTCATATCAGTGGCATACCTAGCCCGTGTTACGCACGTACATTTCGCGCCTACCGTACTCAAAAAGTTGCCGCGCCCGTCTCACTTGTATTCAACAAAAATCTTCGTGAGTTAGATAAACTGGACAGTATGCTCAAAGCTGGCACCCGTTTAGCAGTACTAAGATGAACGGAAAGGGCGCTCGAGGCTTATGTTGATCAGGTGACTACGCCTTGAAAGTGAGTCTGCGTCTCGCTCGTCGCTGTGCTCCCTTGTCCGCGTCGTCTGGTCTCTCTCCCCATAGCCCGGTATTTCTTAGTCGTTCTTTACTAATAATGCTGTGAAGGAATCGAAAGGTATAACAGCTTTGTTTAGAGTTTTTCATCGACTTTTTTCTTCATGAAGAATCGGGAAGCATCCTCAGGTCCAATCGGGAATACTACCCCCAACATTTCACAGCCATGAAATGTACTTTCGGCTTCTTTGATTCTCCATTTCTCACGGAAATGTGACGACTGACACGCCGATCGTCTATCAGGCACCGCGGTGGATGATCGTGTGACGCAGCGCTTCCTCCTGCTCAGGCCCTTGTCTGAGCTTCAAAGTCAAAGATGGGTCCGTTCGCATCCGAGGAAAAAATCAGAGCTGCATAAGGAAATAGCTGCAATTTTCTTGATCTATTTTGTACCAGCGACATAAAGACAGCAGAAAACCTGTTCTCAATCTTATATAGTCAGATTCGGAGATCTAATGATTTGGTTGTTCCCAACTTCATTTGTGGGGTCTCTGACACAATTCTTTTGCCTGTTAATCGATCTCAAACTTTTGGTGGCTCTCTCTAATGCAGCATTTTTTTAAAAACTTTTCTTTGTGATTATTGGTCGTTTTCAGAGCTGCTCGAATCATTCAAAGTGGAGAAACGGACTGAGGAGGTCGTCAAAGGGACGGTGAGATGTTTTTCTAGTCTACATCCATTGTTGAGGTGTTTAAATATGCTGGCTTACGCTAGTGTACCTGTTCATGGTACAGACAGGGCTATAAGGGGAGAGATTCAATCGATCGGTGGAGCAGTAGAGAAAATGCTTCAGAGGATGACGATTTTGCCACAAACCACCAACCTTCATTTCGAAACGATTGAATCGCCTTTTTTACAGCCTTGCCTTACTGAGAGTACCAAAAGTTTGGGTCGGTTTAATTTCTTGTGGATATGCCGCGAATTTGAGACATATCTGACGTGTTTAGCAGTTAAACGTTTAGGAACGAAAACATGGGTTTTTCACCGAAATTTTCATCTTGGACGCAAGCCCCGCCCACTGCGGGCGGAGTTTCTCATAGCCAATACATCCCCTTATAGAGCGGCTCATACTCTACCCATTCAAACTTGA